TTTTTTTTTTTTTTTTTGCGCTAGTTTCTTTGATTTGCAATTGAGTATTTGCCAAAAACTCCCGAAATTTTCTACTTTCTGACAATTCCAGCTAGCTCAAACATTTTGCAACCGAATAATCATTAGTTATTACAAGTGATGTGTTAATTCGTGTTAGATTGCACTGCACTCGCCTCGAAACTCGTCAGAATCGAAGACATAAATACATCATCAGTCAATGTGATTCTGAATTCAGATGATCAGAACATATCAAGTGCTGATTGTTACACGGTATGGCACCGGAAAATGGACGACACAAACTATCCCTCACAGCCCACTTGCAGGTTATTCGCTCGAAACAAAAAGTTTCTCCTTTCAAATCTAAATCCCGACACGAATTACTTTCTCAAGATTGTCATCCTCAAAAAGGATCAAGAATTCGGGTCCTTTGAGATTCAGTTCAGAACAGAAAAGCCCGAAAATGGGCCCGAGGCCCGTAAAGTCGAAAGGAGCCAAAGCCCAGCCACTAACTGCAGCAGCCTTTCGACCCCTTCCTCGGTGGAAGATGAGACAACGACCAATAACGTCACGCCATGTGGCCGTGGTGACAATTATGATAAAACCACCGAACCAAATTTGTCGATCAACTGCTCGGATAACATGACCAGTAATAAAGTAAACAGCTCGTCGAACGCCTTGCAAATCACTCCTCAGAAGATTGAGGAGAAGGTGAAAAAAAATGAAAATTTTTGCAAGAAAAAAAACAGGCGAAAAACGGGTGATGAGTGCGAAAACGAGCCTCAAGCTGGTAGCTCGTCTAAGAAAAGAAAGGAAAATCGAGAGGGAGAGTGTAATAATAATGGCATTGAGGAAAAAAAGGATTTCGAGTACTACGTGAAAGTTATCCGGCGATTGGAGAGTGACGGTTATATTCAAACCGCTTTTCGGCAGAAGTTCTTGACATGGTATAGTTTGAGGGCTACTTCTCGGGAGGTTCGGGTCGTGAGAGTTTTCGTAGACACGTTTCTTGAAGATCCCGAGTCGCTAGCGGGCCAACTTGTGGATGCATTCTCGGATATCGTTTCGAACAAGAAGTGCTTGAGCTCGACTGTGCCGGCCGGTTTTTGCCAGAAGCTGTGGCATTGAACTCTTTTTTTTTTTTTTTTTTTTT